TCATTTAACGTTATCTTGTATACTACTTCATTCTCCATATAAATATATCTAAAATATCACGTTTGATTAGAAATCCCTTGACTGTATTTCAGCAGTATTAAGAACAGAGTTTATAAAAAGGAGACGTACATAGCGAGTCTCTACATACCCATCACTTGGCAGATGGAGGGAGCGAGTTGCAGGCAATACTTGATGCTGCCAATCTAGGAGGGGCTGTATTTGACGACTTGGATGATTTATCACATATGGGTGGGGATGTTTTAGAATAGAACACGCACAAATAAATTTACATTACGTAATAAATTTCAAATTATTATTAATACATCACCCCTCTGTCGGAGTGTTACCTAACAAATAATCAAACCATTGTTAGCTAGATACAAACCCCTGATCGACGCGCGATAGGGGTCGCGCGACAAAAGACCTTCATCAATAAACAGTCTTTACCTCCTCCATGTCCGACACAGCGAATCTTAAACGTCGAAACCCGGGGAAAAGTTCCGAATTCTCTACAGACAACGAAATTTCCAAAGATTATGATAATGAAAAGTCTCACAGATCTAACATTCACGTTCATAGAGTGTTGCCCTGTATTCCGGCAAACATACTTCTTGTAACATTTCTTGCTGGTTTACTTTTCCTTGCATATTTCTTTCATTACACACTTCCAACGCCTGTCAATGAGAGCTATGGACCAAACGGAGAAGCTGTGTTTTCTGAGAAAAATGCGCGAGAGGTTGTTAGAGTGCTTTCGGAGGACATAGGGTATCGCATAGTTGGTAAGCCTGTCATTACAACAACAGCGTCTAATTCAATATTCGACAAAGCTTGACTGATGCTTCTAATAAGGCACAAGAGAAGAGAAGCAGAGTATGGATTATCTTCTGGAATTAATTGAAGAGTATCGTCAACAATCTCGAGCTAATCCAAATGCACTTGAATTTGATGTCGATGTTCAAATCGGAACTGGTTCTCATAGATTTGACATGATGAGCAAAGGTGAGAAGAGCATTTTTGCTAATTATTATAATCGAATGTGCTAACAATAGAGTTTTATTTAGTGGTCATGAAGCATTACGTTAACGTGACTAATATAGTCGTGCGTCTTTCATGTGGTCCCGAATGTAATAAGAATGCGATACTGCTGAACTCACACTTTGGTGAGAATATTCGTACGGATTTTGTATTAGTTTTGTTGTCCTTCGAATGCTAATTTAAACCTTTATGTGTTAGATTCTACTTTGTCTAGTCCAGGTTCGATTTGATTACTTATGTTTCTGATTACCTTCTTGTCGATAGGTTGAGTTATTCACAATGACTCAATGGGTAGGCGCTGCCGATGACGGCGTGGGGGTTGCGGTTATGTTGGAGGTGATCCGCGTGATGAGTCAAAGCCAGATAAAAAGAAAACACGGGTTTGCACCTGGCGATCTTTATACTTCAAAGTTGAGACGAAGATATCGACTAACACAAGGTCCTGAGAATTTACAATTATTATACTATGGCAAACTGGACGAAGGTAATCGATCGTTCGTTTTTTCGTTGGCAGACCAATGTTCAATCGCCATCACTTTGTTTGTAATCTTATCGTTAACTGACAAAAATCGAGGGTACTTTATTCCTAGAAGTAATATTCGTATGTGGGGCTTTATCGCACATTAAACTAAACTTTGCATCTTTGCTTACAGTTCCCAAACCGGTCAATCACGCACTTATTAGATCTTACGGACATCATCGGCTTCCTCATTTAACGTTATCTTGTATACTACTTCATTCTCCATATAAATATATCTAAAATATCACGTTTGATTAGAAATCCC